ATTTCTACAAATATTAATGTTTGATCTTAAATTAAAATAAATTCATTATAAAAAATTTAATTTGATTACAAATCTAAGACATATGTTATGAAATAAAAGATCGATAAGTCTTGGTATAACGCTTTTCGAGCGACCGCCTACTAGGTTAATTCGTTTATTAAAGGTTCGAACGTTTTTTTATTTTTTTATGAAAAGGAACCCAAGAAAAGTACTTGTTTTGTACTGTGCTGAAGCCCCACAAAGGATTAATCCGAACTATTCCTCGGACTTATTTGAGCATTCACGGGGTAAATGCGAGAGAATATTGAGCTTACTAGAACCCGACTTGGCTTTCAAGTGGCCGTGAAAGTGAACGTTAATCGATATGTCAAGTCTAAGATTTTCAGGCGAGGCAGTAGTGATAGGGGAGTCCCCTTAAGGAATAGATACGATACAGGGGTTTTTCTAAGCGTTAAATAGAAATAAATTCAGTCGACCCCAAACTGACAGAAATAAATAACTCAGCAAATTTTTCCTTGACTTTTAAGAGATGCATGTAACAAGGAGAGTTTTAAGAATATAGAGAGCAAATTTATTTATAATTATCGCCGTTAGGGACGCTTTGGTTACTAGACTATTATACATGTTGGCTTCGGCGTCGTGGGTCGTGGGTTCAATTCCCACACGGGACAGGTATTTGTTAGGGATCTGGGTGTTTGTTTCCCAAGGAGGTTTGACGTCAGGCAGGCGGCCGGTGGTAAAAAAAACATAGCCAAACACAGTACAGCATGATTCCACACGCTGTGCCGACCCCACCTAGGTGGGATAAGGGCAGGAGGATGATGATGTTGTTAGGGACGCTTTGCTTCATTTAAAACTACGAGTTGGACTTTAGTTATTTGTTCTGCATGTGCATTTGAATATATACTTCTGTTTTTTTTGCCGAGCTAAGTTTTATTTAAAATATATATCCTCTAAGAAACTGTGAGTTGCGAAGTGCTCATTTGTATTTGTTTGCGTATGACTTTTTGCAAGGCGCTGATGAAAATAGAATATCTTCTTTAAAAAGGATACGATACAATGAACACAATATTTGTCTGTAGAGGTTATCTTCGTTATAAAAGCAGCCTCGTTTATTGGTTATCCTAACAATTAAAATCTAAAAGAATTTCCCCTAAACATGGCGGGCCACCTATGTAACACATCAACAATTAACTTTCCCATTTACCGAGTGTTTACGAGTGACTGCTATGGCGCGTTGCGATCATCCCGTCACAGCCCGGACTCGTTTTCTGGAAGATCTTATTTCATCGGAGCAGTAAAACGAGCTGTTATTCTTTGCGCTTTATGGTTGTACCCGCGCCTAAGCCCGAGATTAATTACTGTTTCCTTTATTCTTTTCGACAAACCCGTCTACTTTTAAATAAACATTACTATATTATAACATATAATATAGCAGTTATAAGTATTTACTAAAGGAGGGAGGATCCAAAAACCCCACTGAATATAAAGCACCATAATATATTGAAATCACGAACATAAATGGCTGTTAAATTTGTTTATAAGTCCGCTTTTTTATAAAAATTGGTATATTTGTTTAATATCATCTGCTTAACCGTAGTACACGGTACATGGTAACTTAATACGAATCTTTTTACTGTGGTAGGGCCACGCAACAGTCTTCGTTGTTGCACGAATGGGCAATTCCGTACGGGTAAGTGCCACGACTTCACAGCAGACCGGCTTGAAGTGGAAGCGATATCTGCAATCCTACGGGTCTTGCAGATGACTTAACATCGGAAGAACCGCTGGCTTGTTGCCACCTTCTGATCTTCTCTGGAATATTGACAAGTGGGTCAATCAGTAATGAAAACTAATTTTCTTTTGTGTTTGCCAACGCCTTAAGTAAGCTACTACCTTTTTGTCTTGTTTCTTAAAATGTTTTACAACATCTTGTTAAGTCTAAGGTTGTACGTTTGCCTCTCTCTTGCTATCTCTACACCTCAGAAGGTAGACTGGTAGATCAGATAAATTATATCAGCGTTAAGGCTACTTTTGTACAAGTCTTTGCATTAGGTTTAAATAAACAAATATTTTTATCACTTGATCATCTAAATGAAACAATGGTGGCAGCAAAGCCTGTCTTAAGTGAAAGTTTACTATTTGTTATATACTTTTTACATAGACATATCTTTTGATTGACATGATTATGATTTTGTTATATACTTTGATTCTACAGTACTTTAAAATTATTTTTCCACACCATTCAATATGGGTAGAACGTAGCGATATAAAGTACTGTACTGTACATCTTATGCTTAACCCATATTTTGCAAATAATATATTATTATTATTATAATTAATTCTGCTAAACTTGTTCAACCAGCCGTTATTCATATTAATCTTTATAACAGCTACTGGTCCAAAAAATTACGTAAACCATTGCAAAATGCTACTATGTTTATGTTTCATTTATTATTCGCACTTTATTTCACTTACTACAAATCCTGCTGACTAACGGTAATCGTCGCCCAAACAAACACAGCTAAAGAACAACTTTGGTAAATATAATATTCAAAACAATCCATCTCATTACGAAACGATTTAGATCAGTGAAACGTATTTTAGTCATGGACCCTTTATGATAATAATACCTTATTTACGAACCCTAAACTAATTAATATTTATGATACAGGTCATAGGTATACTGAAGTTCGGAGATTGAGACATTCCCCTCAACCCTGTATCGTAACAGAGTTGAGGTCAAGGTGATGAATATGTGAGTATTGGTTAACAAATCATGTTGTTTTAGGTTTCGAGATAACTACAGGCATTTACTCGAAAGTGGCAAACACGTTGCCCGTTCATCTTTTATACACAAACGATACCCATCGAAATTCATTGAAATATATCACATAGTATAGTACCTAATGCTCACGAGCTTAAGCGTTTTCATTTGGGTTGAAATTGAATCTATCTTAGGTCTCTGTGATGTCTTGATACCACTGAAATTTTTAGTTTAGTTCTACATATTTAAAATTTGTTGTTGTGAGATGAACTATTACATCATTTAAAATGTACTCGACGAAGCAAACTGTTTCACAGTCTGGGCCATTATACCGTCTCACGAATATCTCAATATCGTGATTAACAATTGTCCTTACCTTTCGGCCAAAAAACTATCTACTACATTATCCGTCAATAAATAATACCAACGCGATGTGATCTATCAATTTAAAGAAACTTACTTAATAGTAAACTTATGACCTTTTTTAATTTGAAATTTTCATAAATGTACGAAGTTTCAATTGTGTTAGGATCACGTAACAGTCTTCACTGCTGCACTAATGTGCAGGTCCGTCCTAGTAAGTATTACGACCTCACAAAAAACGTTATAACACTTCCACTTTACGCCGGCAAGAAATTGCTTTTCTTCAGGTAAGTGAGGTAGCCGGGGCCAAACTTAATCAAAAGGTGGCAACGCATCTGCAACCCTACGTGTGTTGCAAATGTCAATGGGCGTTGGTTATCACTTAACATCAGGTGAGCTGCCTGCTCGCTTGCAACGTTTTCACATAAAAAAGGAGTTTCCATTTACTTTCATATTATATGCGGAAAAAACTGACTCGTGCCTAACAGTATAAATAAAATAAATGTAGCTTTCGAAAATGTCTTACACTTTAATAGTCGGTATGGTGAATCTTTCACCGTGACGCCGATCAACCGTAATCTATCTAAGAAACAATAACGCGTGACATACATGCTAGGGAGACTTTTCCAATATTTCTTATCCTTTATAAGAAACTGCTCGCCTCTAAGATATTATATAAATTCAGCGAACACTGAAATCATGCTAAGTTTATTCGTTTATTGAACATCTTTGAAACTTTATGTCTTTGGTATTTTCTTAGAAATTAATCCTCTTACGCAAGTCCTTGTTTTATGGTTTAGAGTGAGGTATTGAATAAAAGTGAACGTATCCATAGGGTTTGTCACAACCACTTTAAAAGATTCAAATAAAAATGTAACAACTTTTGGACACTCCTTAAAGTTCACTTGGCTTTGTATTTAACTTCGATAAATGATGACAATAAAATCTGGCCGTTGTTGGTGACACTTGATGAAGTATCATAAACCTGTCTTTTCAGTATTTTATATCAAGTCTATGACATTGGAGTCACCAGGGACATGTGGTTCCATTTATTTTACACTAACAGAGTTAGTAGAGACTTTATTAGAGTCGGATAGTTTCATTGCTTCGTTTCATTTTTTCAGTAAAATTGAACGATGTCCATACATTTACAATGAGATGTAGACCAACATCGTTAATGTTTTTGTTTTAGAAACAAAAGTGCAAACTTATAAGCATATTAAAAGAAATATTAGAACTAAGAAATTGTGTACTTAGAGTATGTGAGTTTATTTCCTGTTCAAGAAGCAAATGCTTTATAGATGTGAGTGATATTTGAAATTTAAATAAATAAGTAGATACTTCTAAGCTCTTAAAATAAATAAGTGGATACATTTATCCCATTGTGTTATTTAATAAATGAGGTAGAGTGTTACCAACTGTTCAAAAAAAATCCTATATTTAGGTAGAAAATTCCTAAGTTGCCATCCGTGATAGAGGCCAAGTGATTGGGATGTTGATATTGCGATCAGTGAACTTACGGCTGCCTTGAGTCTGTCAGTCTAACGTATATAATATACAATAATCGCCAGAAACTCTGCCAAAAGCTGCATCAGTTATTGTAGTAGGTGGTAGGCGAACGTTCTAAGTATTGTTATTTCAATTTCGCTCGACGTCTCTCAGACGGGGCACGTGCTGGGGCCCCGCCACTGCCCCTTCCGCTCCTAACCTCGGCACTCGCACGCGCGAACGTTAAAACAGACGGCGTACTCTGTAACGATGTTGTTAATAAAGCGAGTAAGAAATAGCCGCCATTCAATGCGAAAGACTTCTTAAAATCGCAAACAAATCGCCCAGAGTCACTATGAGGTTACGAAATGCAAAAGCCAATATGGACCACAAGCAGACAGTAGAGGATCAGGTCAAATTTAATCCTGTTTACAACGGGCAGTGCTCCGAGGATATGTTTGGTGTACTTGTCTGGTGGTTTGTTATGGTGCGCGGTTCTGAAATTCAAAATTAACCAGTATATTCCATCGATAGATTCCTGATAGAATTTCAAGAAAACTTTTGCCATACACGATTGTGTAGACATTTTCAAGTAATCGCTTTGTGGAATAAATTTTTGCTAGCAGTATTTTACACCGCTCCTAAAGAGGAAATACCTTTAGGGACGGAAATAGTTTCGAGCATAATTTTTGGAATCTTTCTTGTTTTGAAGTGATTGAGTCAAAGTAAAATATTTCATATATTTTGATTTCTCTATAAAAAAGAACGAATAGTTTTTCGAGGCTGTGGGAAATCGGGATTCGCGCCCTGGCGCTTTAGCCGCTAAGCTCTAAACGGCTGATTGCCACACCGACGGAATTATCAACGTCTTTTATCAACATTGTTTTTTTTTTAGCATTTGAAGTAGTTTGTATGTTGGAAAGGATATAACAATGGATGACACAAGCATTGCTGATTCAGATTTATTGTATACCATATACGACAATTCAACAGAGAAAATAAATAATGTAAACTCAGAATAGAAACTCGGAACAAGACTCGGAATTTGTCCCTTAGGTACCTCCATTCGAAAAAGTACATGGCAATATCCCTATTACTTTTTCTTCACTAACGCTAAGACATAAAGCTATAGTATCATAATATTGTATTAATTACAATAGAAACAAAAAAAACCCTTCTATCGCGCACAAAAACAAATATAATGCTAGAAGCAGGCAAACGATCGGATAGGTACTTCAGCTTACGGAACGTGACTACCTCTGGTCACGGCCACTCACAGCAAGCCCGCGGGGGAGCCGAGGCCTTGCCAACGTCTAGGAGGGCGCGCCCAGCTCTACTCGCTAAACATAGGCTTACGTATCAAGACGCAGCAAGTACTACTTGGTGTCTTCGGATTATAACTTATGCGCATAAATACGTGAATAAGAAATGGAAACAGTAAGAATTTTGATATATATTTAACAAAATGAACGGTTTAATGGAAATATTGCGGCCAACAAGCATGAATGAAATAGATAAATACTTAGTACGCGTAATACATTCTCTTGTTACAATTTAATTAATTTGGTTATCGTTTGGGACAATGATTATTTTGTTAAAGCTTCTTATCCCATCCATCTTTAGAACGTTTCCTCAATTAAAATCTTTCAAAGCAAAGGTCTTAAAAACCTCCAATTATCGATAATTAACCTTACAAAATTTGAAAAAGTTTTACCAATGACAGTACATTTGAGCATTGAATTTCTTACTACAGGTGTACTTTCTGATGATTATAGTAATACACAATGACGAAACTTACTTCTTCTACTTCACTGCAACACGACGGAAATTTTAGTAAAGTAATTATTAATATGTTTATGGGACTAGACACACATTGAGCTATGAATGGGAGCCAATGTTTTTTACATTTATACGATTAAAAAATCGTAGGAACAATAATTCCATTGTTTGACTATCGGAGCTGATCGGGTTTGCTAAATATTTTCTAATTTATTAAAACTTTTTCTTTTCAAACAAAAACTCTGTACAAATGAGGCGCATACATCCGATCACATGTGCTGCGACGCCGTAGGCGAGGCGGTCTAAAGGCGCATTGATATTGGCTGGTCAATGGAGATCGGTGTGACGTCACAAAGAACTCTTTGACACATGGAACGATGCACACGCCGCGTGGACTCAATACTGGGTGCATATGTCGTATCATCGAGTAAGACAATATTAGAAAAGTCAGACATAGTCACGACAGTAAATACTGAAATAGGTTGGTCGGTCCGTGTCTTAAATCCAAAACGATAGCGGTACGGAGGCTCTCACGCCTTTGGGATTCAAACCTGCAACATTTGGGTGTTAGGTGACGTTCTTATTCCTTATTTATTGTTTTTTTTATATCAACTCACCTCTATTGTAATTATGTATTTATTTAATTTTTTTCGTAATTTTCAAAATCCAACTGATCCGGACACGTTGTAGAATCTCATATTTTATCCAATAAGTACTAAAAGTTATTACGACACCTCAACGCTGTTTCAAGTTAGATATAAAATAATTTTTAACCAAAAAAAAAACCGACTTCAATCATAAAATTAAAAACATTGTTAATACCTATAACATTCAATGATGGCCCACGATTTCTCTGGGATGCCATCGTCAGATCCGGGTTTCCTTATCATGGTACCACTCTTGGTATATCTCCTTTCCGACAAAAAAAGAATCATCAAAATCTGTTCATAAACGACGAAGTTATATATATGGTCGAATTGAGAAACCTCCTGCTTTTTTGAAGTCGGTTAAATAGGTATTTATTGTGTGACTTAAGAAAGTCATATTTAAATGTTTCAAAATGATCTGCGATAGCAGAATTCTTACTTCAACTGTTATATTAATATTTTCTTATAGTTTCATAATCTATTTTACTTAATTAAACACAAAAAGTTTTTTCTTCATCGATAATTTGTTCGTAACTCTCTGAAATAACTGCAACTAATTGTCAATAATTTCGTCAATATCTTCCTCATGATTAATTTTCAGCGCGTATTGGCGATACAGCGTGCTTTGGAATTGGATTCATTGATTTTGCACACAATACAATATAGCTGGGAAGGCGAGAATATTCGTGGCGAAATCTCAACGAGAGATCGCCCTAGATCATCGTAATCTGCGCGCGACACGTGCACACGCGATCGCCACAGAACAGGTTTAATGTGTTGTCCCAGGACAATATCTTTAATTCCATTTCAGCTCAACATAATGCGAAAAGGGGAGATACTTTATTATTTATCTATACTCACCAAAGAGTATTGCACAAACAGTAATGACAAAATGTAGAGAGAGTATAAAACAAAATCGCTCCCGATGTTTGTACGCTTAGATCTTTTAAATGATTGTAATGCGTAAATATGTTATAGTAGAGAAAAGCCGTGAAATTTAACATCTACATTGCACCCGTGCAAAGCAGGGGCGAGTCGCACAGTAAGACCGAAGTTATTCATGAACTAGCGTCATCGGTATTTACCGGCGAAGCTACTCACAGCAAGAACGAAGGCTTCGATATTCTTCTATAACTATGTTTTTAGTATCCTCATTTAAAATCATAGTTACTGTTAATAATTTTAATATCTTTAACATGCAACAATAAATCATTATAAATTTTGCATTATTTAAAGAATTTAAATTATGTATTTGGCTTACACAAATACAAATAACATGTAGAAGACTATTCCGTTGAGACACTTACAAATAGTACACAGCAAATATAGCTTTCTCTGACATTGCTGCAAGGTAAGTGACAGGCGCAGGTGGAGTGATCCTACAATACACTAAGATACCGCTAAGAATTAATGATGAAACGTTAAAAATTATCAAGTCATTCGTATGATCTCTATACGGTATCGGTCAAGAATTTTAAACCCAATGAGCGACCTATGTATTGCTATCTACGTTTTGTCTTGTTTATAGATGCCAAGCTTGGCAGGTGGTAAATGAATCTTTTTTTTTTTATTTTATAATTGTTTTTGCCTTTAACTATTTGCACATATTAACAGGAATATTAATTCTCAATCTAGTCTTTATATATAAATTGGAGTTTGACTATACTGTCGGGTCGTCAAAACTTTAAAAATTAAATGACGGCTACACAAATGTATAAACTAAATAAAATTCTTTTAGGATGCATGTACGTTAAGTTGGGCTTGCAAAGGATATATGAGTAATTTCTAAAGGCGAATAAACGAAAACGATAAGTAACTGCCACAGCACATACATAGATTTTCGTTCTAGCCGTATTCCATAGGAATTCTGCATATTTCTTGGATAACACTATCATATATTTCTCTTCAGTCCTGAAAGTACAATAATTTTGTTTGTGAAATCAGATGTTACGTTTCATAAGAACAAAACAACGAATAAAAGTTTTCATCATAACACTGGTTATTGTGAAAACTTTTGTTATTATACGGTTTTGTATATAAGTCGTGTGCATTAAATTAGGTCTAAAACACATGGGCTGAGAAAAATAATTAGAACGCACTTCCAGTTTTTTCGAACGTCTTTTTTTATACTCTATGGATATCGAAGAATTACAAAGGCACGACGGCCTCAGTGCGGCGCCGAGATAAATGCAGGGGTGCGGTTGACACCCGTCCTAGATTGAATTCAATTTAGATCCCTAACATGTATTGAGGATCAAATTCGACCCTTTGCTTTTACTCTAGTTGGTTTTGGCCTTCGGCCAATTGGATGATAACGAACAAATCAATTTCGCTCAGAAATTATTTTCATACTCAAACCAAATTGATTTACTGACGCAGGAGAAACAAGCCATTTGTGGCGAAATTATTTGAAGAGCCTAGTCGCAATTCCAGGTCGCGACGTGAAAGATACATAATTCAAATATAATGGGTACAATGTAAGAGCAAAATAAATAGAATTTCAAATGAAAAAAATTGATTGTACCCCCTATTATCGGTAAATTAGGTCGGTAGCTCAGCATTATGCTGCGCCGGAAGTGATTCAGTGTTGCTAAATTATCGACAAGTTCTTTCAGATGGTGATTAAAAACATTGAATATTAATTATCTAAATATTGGTAATCATAGTTTAACCGATTTGCTTTAAATTAGTAAAAATGACACTAGTACTATTATAAAATTACATTATTTGAAAAAATATTCCTCATAAGCAATTTACCTTTTACTCTTTTATTATTGAAACGGGCAAGAACTAAAGACATGTTAAGTGTTATCATTCTTTATAGTACCTATATTTATAGTTATATAGTTTCCACTGGCAATGGCAATACAGAAATGTGTGGTCACGGATGAAAATAGTTGATCATAACGTAGCAATTCTAACACCGCATATTCGAAAAGATTAGTGTTATAGATGCCACGAAAGACATGTTTTTTTGCTATTGAACCCACGAACTCTTGATATTAGAGTAGTTAGTTCCAGAACTAATGTACACTATATTATCTAGGACGTTAGGTTATTAATGCGGTGACGGCAGATACACGCGTCTTACGACGTTTATAAACCACTGTAAATAATAAAAATAGGGTCACTTGTATTTATCTTCGCGGCGATGTGGACGCCGCTGTATAAATTAATAGTTTCTCAATGGAACACAATTAACATTTACAGGACATTTAAAATGATTATAGATTGATGATGATGAGAAATATTGTTATTAAATTTAAAAATTCAATAAAAAATAAAGTGCTTTTTAATTACGCCGAAAACACGACTTCATTTTTATTTTTAAAAGACCGAGCAGAAACAAAAGAAAGCATCTTCAATAAATCTCGTCAGTAATTAAAATTATTTTATTTTACTATTAGGTATAAAACTTATAGAAATCAATACTAATTTGTTATAATTCAAGTGTTATGCTTTTAATAAATCTTCATTTAATGTTATGAGGAAACGGCCGTTTTGAATTTCGGACATATGTGATGTGGTATGATGCTGTGTTTGCGTAGCGATGTTACAAGGTCAAACTATAAACTATCTTCACTGTTCAAATTGCGATTGAAATTTAAAACCGTTAATAGTTGTTACTTTTCCTTTACTTATCTTATAAAGGAACCTTTTTGGCTTTGTTATTTTTAAGTTCCAAACAAGTTTCATCCAAAAATTTCGATTACGACTAGTTACTTGGGCTTGGGTTCGATGAAAAAACACATTTTAGAATAACGTAGGTATGTAACGGTGGTAGGGCCACGCAGCAGTCTCAGCTGTTGCACAGCGTTTTGACATTTTTCCTAACCTTTTGCAAGATTTTAAGGCGTAAAAAGTAAATAGGTACATATTTACTAGTAAAAATTTATTACTCATAAAAACTTGGTGGATTTACATTTTGTTTTCAGTCTTTGGTTCGTTGTAATAAAAAAGTGCTCAAAAAGAAGGATACATGGTCTAAACATGTATCCTTCCTTCTTTTTGATTGATACAATGATGACTAAGAAAAATTTAGAAATAAAAAAAAAAACACATTTATTATAGCGCAGTTTATACCGTTCATAACAGTAATTACCAACCGTAGCCCCAACTGGGCCTCTGGTCACGGGTTTGGCCGCAGCGAGGCGCACCTATTACATTTCGCAGACTGTCAGATTCGCCTGCCGATCGCAGTCTAGTACGATGCCAGAGCGTGAGTAGTGTTAACAGTTTCAGCCTGAAAGGTCGGAATCATCATCTGAATCGCGGCGGCGGTCAGCGCGGCTGCTAGGACCGGGCTGTTCGCCGTTCATGGGCCTCAAGGAGTTGATATTCATAAGTAAGCCGTCGAAGCCAGCCCACCGCTGGTTCAAGGTTCGTTTGCGAATCTCCGTCTCTAGGCGTACGAGCGTCGTGTCATCGTGATGTTCAGAAGACAACGCTTCCATTTCATTCTTTAAGTATACCGGATTGTACTTCATTTCGTAACTGTGTAATTTGGCCAGGTTGCCCTTCACCTTGGCCATTACATTGTGATGTCGCGCGATGAGCTTCTTGAAGCCCCAAGGCGTTGCGTTCTCCATATCCAGAGCTTCGCGAATTTTTTCTGCGAGGAAATGCGCTTTCATGTATATGTCGGTAGTTTCCTGTTTCAGAACTAATACGTCCATCAGCGTCTTATCAAGTGCTTTGCGAAGTTTTTCAAGTTTGCGCATTCGAGTTTTGTGTTTGGTTAGGATCCTTTCCAAGTAGGCCATTTTCTCGTCGGAGCCCTTCGAATCTTCCCATACAGTTTCCAAGCGAGTATTTTCCCTTTTTTTTATAGCACGCAAATCGTCGATGGTTTTATTTAAAAACATCGTGAATTTCGAAAACCCCAACTGGTCTTTTTCACCCATCAGTCCAAAGACTTTCAATTGACGCCTCAAATTCTCCGGTTTAATGTACTCACGAAGTGGGACCGAGTCCTCGCCGAAATTCATGTTTGATATTTGAATTTTCAACTTTCACATATAATTATTATCACTAATATATTGAAAAAATATTATTGAAGAATAAATGAACAAAATTAGGTCCTGTTTTAATGTTTGGGTGACGGTTAACACTAAGAAAAAACCAACTATTTATAAAAAAAAACACCGAACAGTCGACGTGCGTTCACGGACGTCTAAATTCGAATGGCGTCATCGGCGTCACACGTTTATTCAGAAGTAGATATCTAGTTGTTTTGGCCTACGGGACCGTTCATTTACGAAAGGTCGCAACTCAACGAGCAAAACACCATCACGATTCCACTATTAAGTATAAACATTTATAGTATATTATTGAATCAGTGGATGTCGAATAATGTATAATTCAATAGAGATTATGTATTCGCGTTCTATCGTAAGCTTTTTGAATATCGTTTTATTTTTAGTTTGTTACAAGTTAAAACCAGTTTACTTCGTGACATTTTTTTATCAGTTAGCTTTTTTATGATATATTTGGGCAGACGGCAAGTTCGCAGAGCCACGGATTTCCCCAGGGCTAATGCTAGTCCTAGTCATTCCAATTCCTGAGCCACTACCGATGCTCCAGAGAGCACTTACAAAATACACGACAATGACCTATAAATTGCTTGGTAATAATGTTGCTTGTTAATGCTTCGGCGAAGGAGTCGTATGTTCGATTCATACACAGATAATTGTTTCGGATCTCGGTGTTTCTCTACTCGAAATGTATGCATGTAAAACGACCTTACAACACAAGATAATGTCCCTAAGCATTGCCCCTAAACTAGAGGCAATGATTTTAAATCATATAAAAAAGTACGTGTTCAAGCATCCGAAGATATGATGGAATTCGGGTAATACACGTCATGTTTGTGGTTGCTTCCCATGGCAACGGGAAAATCCAGCGGGCACGTGTTATCTGCTCTGACGTAAGTGAAATTTGCTTATTTAAATTCTACGGTTAGCCAACATACCAATCCGATAACGATTCCGCTATTTTGGTAATGATACTGACACACACGTGTAGGCTACTAGAGGATTCTATAGGGTTTTGAATGACTCTTTAAATATCAATATGCAATGAAATCTGAATATTGCTAGTGACACAAAACACTGAGATATAATAGCTGAACACGATTTCTAAACAACGACACTTGGATTACCTATTAACATATATATCATCAATTATTTAATTTCATCATATCTGTTTAGCCAGGAGTGAAAGGTAAAACATATTATGATGCTCACGCCAAAAATATTTTCAGCAGTACTCGAATCACTATTCAGACATGTGGATTGGGAAACGAAAGGAGTAAATATAGACGGAGAGCTACTGAACCACTTGCGATTCGCGGACGACATCGTAGTATTTGCCGAAAGCGCGATAGAGCTTGAGAACATGGTCAAGGAACTAGCATTAGAAAGCCATAAAGTAGGACTGTCACTCAACACAACGGAAACCAATATGCTAACCAATGGAGCCCCGGAAGACATTGTTGTAGAGAACGAAAAAATCGAGTATGTAACAGAATATATTTATCTAGGGCAGTTACAAGGGCAGTATCATTTGAGCAGAACACCGTAAAAGAAATACAAAGAAGGATAACTCTGGCATGGAAAAAATACTGGGGCCTCCGAAAAATAATGAAAAATAAAACAGTTAGCCTAAATACAAAGAAGAGAATTTACGAAATAACTGTTCTACCATACCTAACATATGGTTGTCAGAAAAATGGAAAGGAGCATGCTGGGAATAAAATTATCACATAAAATTCGTAACAGGGACATCAGAAAAAAGACAAAAATAATAGATGTACGAAAGAGAATTAGATTATTGAATTGGCATTGGGCGGGACATGTTTGCAGGATTAACAATAGATGGACAAAACGGTTAACAGAGTGGGTACCAAGGAACAGGAAGAGGAGAAAAGGGACACCTGGTAAAAGATGGAGAGACGTTTTCAGCCACAAGTGTGGTAACCACTGGATGCAAATACCTCGGGAAAGAGATGTTTGGAAAGGTTTAGGAGAGGCCTACGTCGCAGAGGCGACTACTACTAACATATTATAATTACAATATTATTATTAAAAAGATATATAGTAGTAAGTAAATAAAGGCTATTTTTATTTTATTTTATTTTATACTATGATACAATTTAAACAAGTAGATATAATTAACATACTCAAAAACCCGACTGCGTTTCTGTATAATTTGGAAATGATTTTGATATACCCAGTGTGACTCTTACAGTAAATACGAATCTAACGTCAAAATTCAAGCTATCAAGCCGTCCAGACTGCAGAGCGTGCCAAACAATAATTATACATAAATACATACATACTCTCGAAAAACATAACCCTCCTTCTGGCGCAGTCGGGTAAAAAGGTTTGGTTTCTCGTTATCGACTCATCGCTGCTTTTCATATTAAAAAGAGAATTATACAGTATCTTAAGTTTTCTATGCTGTTTCAATTCGTTCATTATTACGTGCCTTCGAAAAGCCTCTTGCCATTGTTTTGTTTGTACAATAGGGTCTTTTCGCGTCTTGCACAGGCTCCATTCTGACCATTATTTTCATGCCTTGTTATTTTCATGCCTTGCTCTCAGAGGATAAACATGCAATTGATAGACAGGAGCCTAATTAAGCCTTTTGTTCAATTGAAATTTATAAACATTATTAATGGAAACGTATTATGTTTATAATTATTTTTTTATAAGAATAAGAAAGACTACATATAAAAGAAGCATATGTTATCAACGAAATGGTTACATTAAAAATATTGGTCCTAAGTCGCTAATGATGAAGTATTATTTAGTATTTTTGACTTTTATTATAGTAGAAGAGTAGATATTATAGAGAACTTTTAAAACACATCGAAAAATAATAAAATCATTCTGGACTATTGCCTACTTAAAAAATTCTAACTATTAAAATTCTAAGAATAATTTCCGAGTGTAGTTATTCAAAAAGATAAGGTGCTAATGTCGGTAATGGCGATAATTGAGAGCCCCGAGCGCTTCCGCCCACGTCTCTGGCATTCATTCGATTAAATTTCTCGCATGGTATTTATTTATTTCTAATATTAAGATAATTATTAATTATACCTATATTATTCACTATGTGTTCATGATACTTATTTTACGGATTATGTTAAAATTCTCTGAAACAAAGATTTTGTGATGACTCCGTAGCGCAGTTGCCAAGGTACTGGCTTCGGTGTCGGAGGTCGTGGGTTCGATGCCCACACGGAAAAACTATTTGTATGACCCACCGTTATACATAGTTGTTTCGCATCTGGGCCTTTGTCCGCGTGAGTGTTCGTAAAACGTTCTAACAACACATGATAATGTTATCCTAAATTAAGTGCAATGTTTAAAAAAATAAAAGAATTTGTAAAACTTGTAAAAATTTTAGGTTAAATATTGAGATCTTCGCGCTGTGAAAATATCGAATGATAGTTAGCCAGAGCGTCTGAGCACTTTATCCAGAAGACGGTGATTTTAATCCTTGTTGCGCTGAAAAAAATGTTTGCCAATTTCTCTATTCGTCGTTGCTTAAATAACAAAAAATATTAGGACGCGTGTATTTCATTTGTAATTTGTTTTAAAAATACATTGTTTATATTGTTTTTTATTATTGCAATAAAAGCGTACTGAGTCGCGGCTGTGCAAACATTTTGACCAATACCCGGGTCTGCGAGTAAATTTCGAAAGTTTCAAAACTCCATAATTTCTCTTAACCACGAGAGGCTCGTACTTAAACAAGTTTCTAATTCAAATTCCGATACTCTGAACATTGGTGAAATTGTTCATAGCGATATTAAAGTGCCCTTTATCTCAATAGCTGTCAAAATTGCGATGAAATGTTTTAAATACTTTATAACACTGCAGGTGGTGGTAATGTAATAAATTATGATCAAAAAATGTTCAATTTTTTTTTATTGAAAGTCAGAAAAGTGGGTCCGACGTACTTAAGTTAACCTTAACTTGCTTAATTTGTAATTCTTAATGTAGTATGGTGAACTGTTAGCTCATTCATCATTATGCTGTGGTATATAAAATCTGTTGTCGACAGTGTGCTTTGCTGAGCGCATAAAGTTCCTACACAAAAAACCCTCTTCCTTAGTTAAATTGCTCTGTTTTATTGAAACATCAAAACAAATATTACGATCCTGCTGATATGCCAGTTCCGATGAAACCAAGCCATGGCGCCGCTCAAAAAACAAGGGATTAAATTCATTTAACCAAACGTATTTTATGGCTTCATCGAAGCTACCCAAAGTACTAATGCTATTTTTAATGTTATCCGTAAAATTTATGTCCACATTATAAAAAAGCTTTAAACTAAAGTAACGAAACCTTTCAATAAAATGTTTACGTATGTACTTTTATAATGATTTGTTTTTTTAATAAGCCGATTTTACAAAGCTTCGAAAAATTTAGAGCCAGACTAAATAAAGCTAGCAAACACTTGTGCGTTGTGCGTGTGAACACAAAGTTCGCAACATTGCGAATCTGCAATCCTAACATTTTTACACACAATCGTAGAAACGCTTGGCCTTGCGGTAGAAGGGCACCATGTTGACCCAACACCAAGAAGTAGCGGCCAGATGGTCACAAGGACGCTCGTCACGCTCCTTTTCAGTAATAACACGTCCACATTTCAAGCGTTGACAGAAGAGAGTTTTCCTGTTTATCCTATTTTGCGAAAAATAGGTCACGTTTATGGTTCGGCCGCTGAATATTTTATAATTGTTATGCTGTTGTTTCTTTCAGTAGCATGGCTAGTAATCCTAACTACATTTTATACCTTTTTTCCTACTTTTATACTTTGCTGGTTTCAATAAAACCGAAATAAGCAGTAATGTAACGTGTGATTTCATCACTTTGTCGAAATTGTTGTTTTTCTAAAGACTAGGCTGCATTTCATATGAACCTTTGCCTTTTCGAAAGGTCAAATCAAAAAGTTAAGTTCATTTGTTGGTACTTGT